TGAGAGAGAGAGAGAACATGGTTCATACAGAAGGACTGAACATTTTTTCAAGGGCTTTTCAAAGACTTTTCATGGACATTTTATCGGAAATTCAAGCACATTTTATCGGACAATTTATCGGAATTCATACACAAAACAAAACATACCTGGATTCATTTAATAATAACCCCATTCTTAATCACTGTCACCTCTAAAACTTACCTGGATCACATTAATAAACCCTTCTAAACACGGTCACTTCTACAACATACCTTGATTTACTGACTGATTTTACTGACTTACTGTAATTTGTGATAATCATTTAACTGTCCATCGTGTCTATAGCTTTTTAAGCTCATTTAACGAAATTTTTATTGAGGTTTGCACATTATTGATGGTACAAAATATTTCTTTTTATTACAGGCAAGGATTCTTTCTAAAAATTCAAGGACTTTTCAAGCACAAAATCAACATTTACTAAATTCAAGTACTTTTCAAGGACTCCCCTCAAATTCAAAGACTTTTCAAGGACTGTGCGAACCATGGAGAAGAGAGTGATGATATATATGATTAGCCAAGTCGCACCCACGCCCCAACGCCTGCAGAGTTGTGGTACACCCCCATCCCACCCCCAAGCTCAGCCATGCTTGTGACCCGCACGACCCCTCCCTCTTGACAGGCCCCTCCCTCTTGTCACACCCCTCCCTCTTGACAGGCCCCTCCCTCTTGTCACACGACTCTCTCCATCTTGGCACACCCCTCCCTCTTGGCACACCCCTCCCTCTTGGCACACACCTCCCTCTTGGTCTGCCCTTCCCATTAGGGAGTGCAGACCGAAAACCTCTCTCCCGGGCGAGAAATCAATCGGTGAGCGCATAAACGCACGCTTTTCGACACCCGCCTTGCCGCGCCGCCCCCCCTCCTCCTGCTGCTGCCGCCCTTCCCCGAAGCCCTTTGTATTAATAATGACCGTATCGGCATTCCAGCCGAGGTGGCTATTATTAGCGCTTGTTTATTCGTTTCGCTACGATCGCCATAGCAACCGCGCCGGCAGAAAATCTGATTGCGTTCGGTAACAATCGGATTATGGCGAAAACTTCCCCGCAAAGTTATTTCGTTAACGTCGTTATGAGGGAAGAGGGAAGAGAGAGAAAAAATATGTGTGCGTTTATTTCTCCCCCCTCCCTCCCTCCCCCAGCGACCGAGATCCCGCTAGAGCGGCGATTCGCCGCGTGGTGATGACGCGGCCAAAACAAGTGAACGCGCAACGGCGCTCCGCCAAGGGAATTCGGAAAAATTGCGTGCACAGCTGCCACCCGATTGGTGCGTTTTTGACGTAAGCGGCCATGTTTTAACAAAAGCACGTCCCTTCCGTGCCGGGATTACCTCTCGCCAGATTCTGCGGCAGCATGACCTCCTTGGGCTGCGCCTTCTTGCACTCCACCTGGTGGGAAAAAAAGAAAACAAGAGAATTTAGTACAACGCGCCGAGTCATTCGATTGCTTTTTCAATGTCATGTCATGTGGTAATGTGACGGGTGAATTTGGGGATGAAATAGGTCGACGCTGGTAGTTTTAGGACAGGCAGTGAAGGGTACCCGGTAGGTGTGGAGGGTAGGGTAGGGTAGGTAGTAATGGGATAGGCTTACGGCTAGGGTTAGGATAGCTAGAGTGATAGTGGACTCAGGGTAGAATATCCAATAGGATAGTTAGTGTAAGCATGCTAGGGGCGACGCCATGCAGCGGCAATCACTCACAGTGGCGCCATCCCGTGTCACGCCCGCGCGACCCGTTTCTTCGACCCGGGACGAAAGCGTGACGGCAGCGAGGCGCCCCCTGCCAGCATCGCGGCGTAATTACTATTCGCAATTTTAATGAGGCGGTGGGATGCAGCGGGGGGTGTGGGGGGGGATGCAGAGAGAAGCCACGATGCCGCATCCCCCTGCTGCGATTCAGCAGGGAGGATGCTGCAATCCAGCAGGGAGGATGCTGCGATCCAGCAGGGAGGATGCAAGATCGCGGGAAGCAAAGAGCAACAGACAGAGAATAATAATGCGCAGCAATTTCAGAACGCTACTCGTGCAGAAGACGACGACGTTATTAGATGAAGCCAGAGCAAATCCCGCTGACTCCCATCCACGTGAACGTCGCCGAGCCATAAGCAATCTGCATCCAATATTCGCATACACACGCACAAGCATTCGCATGCATTCAATATAACTTGGCCCTAGAGCAAGGGGAAGAGGCAAACAGGAAGCCACGATGGCGATTCGCAGATACGTGAAGATTCGAAGCGACGAGAGCAAAAGTAACGTGGAACGAGATGGGAGCGGTCGCCGGCGGATACGCGGGTAGGGCAACGGCGACCGCACGGAAGCTGAGGACCCGCGGCCACACACCGAATGAAGCCCACGTTTGGCTTCATGTCCGTGGACACAAGAGGCTGTCACGGTTGCTCTTGGCCGTTGGTCACTCGTTTGCCCGCGCGTCCGTCAAGGACGAACAATCGCAGGAGAATGCCGACAGCGCTTCACGTAACCCACACCAGATGGCAGCAGCAGTGGCGCGAGGAACAACGTCACGTTTGGCGCGCTGCCTGTCGAAACGCAAACCAGCTTCCGGCAAATGCAAGCAAGAGCAAGCGAGAGTAAGTAGGAGAAAGCAAGAGCAAGCAAGAGCAAGTGACAGTAAGTAAGAGAAAGCAAGAGCAAGCTGGAGGAAACGATATAAAGCAAACAGTCAGGGAAAAAAAGAAGAGAGGAAGAGAGGAAGCAAGAAGAAGTGAGAGGCAGCAAGAGCAAACAATAGATCGTGAGAGCGACGGAGAGTTAGGTAGCAAGACTGCATGCGCGACAGCATGACGGAGCATGACTCACCATTTTGTTGTTGATTTCGTGGAAGTGAATCTCGCACACCTTATCGACCATGTCCTCATCCTCAAACGTCACAAATCCGAACCCTGCAACGACGCAAAAACAACGGAACATGAGCGGTCACCCTTCTAACGATCAGTCAAAACGTCGCTAACGCTTACAGTTACAACGATGCAAAAAAACAATAGAGCATCAGCCGACCATTTCAAGGGAAAAAACAATAGAGCATCAGCCGACCATTTCAAGGAAAAAAACAAATAGATTGTCAGCATGTGTATCACGTGATCCCCAAATCATACAAAAACAATGGAACATCGCTGTGCGCATTATTCTTCCGCCTAAAGAAACTGGCCCTCGTTTATGCATCAAAACGTGCGTAGCGTGGCTTACTAATTAATATCATCTATTATAACGACTACCCCCCCTCTCTCTCTATCCACAGTTTTTTCTCCCTTGAGCTTGCCTACTGCGTATGCGAATTTCTCCTCACGATGCTCATTGATCAGTATGATTCGCGTGCCACGCTCCACCGTACACGCACGCACGCACGCACGCGTGCACGCTTCACCGTACACGCACGCACGCACGCACGCACGCACGCACGCACGCACGCTTCACCGTACACACACGCACGCACGCACGCACGCACGCACGCACGCACGCACGCACGCACGCTCCACCGTACACGCACGCGCGCACGCTTCACCGTACACGCACGCACGCACGCACGCACGCACGCACGCACGCACGCACGCACGCACGCTTCACCGTACACACACGCACGCACGCACGCACGCTTCACCGTACACACACGCACGCACGCACGCACGCTTCACCGTACACACACGCACGCACGCACGCACGCACGCACGCTTCACCGTACACACACGCACAGCACGCACGCACGCACGCACGCACGCACGCACGCACGCACGCCCGTATGCACGCACGCACACACGCACACACACGCTCATGCGTCAGCCACGCTGCATTGCGTAACAGAGCAGAATCAGTACTCGGGATCCCCGCTGGCACTGCTGCCGCCGCATGCAGCTCTCCAGGCAAGGCTAAGCAGCTCTTAGCTTTCTACCTTTATATTTACTCACTGCCTCACTTGCTCTCTCTCTGTCTCTGTCTCTGTCTCTCTCTCTCTCTCTCTCTCTCTCTCTGTCTCTCTCTCTCTCTCTCTCTATTCACTCTCTCTCTCTCTGTTCACTCTCTCTCTATAT